CAAAGCTTGCAAAGCCAGAACTTCATATAAGACACTTTTCCCTCTTTTTTTTAAAAAAACAAAACAAAACAAAACAACCATCTGTATTTCATACGTGGTATAGGTACAAAAATCACAGTAGTTCAATGTCTGTAATAATGAACTGTTTGAAGATAATCTGTCCATGACAAGGCATGTTATCATTTACAAACACTTGCTGGTTCTAGTATTCACTTAGGCCTCATGTCAGTATCTTCAAGTCTGGCATTTCAGTTTTCATTAGTGGATAGTAACCAGGGTTTGTAACACTCGAGTTCTCTTTTGTCTTCCATCAAGGAACCTGAAGAAATAAATGCAGATGATGAGGTGGAGGATACATGTGATAACAAGGAGGATGACCTGGGTGCTGTGGAGGAGCAGCGCAGTGTCATCCTGCATCTCCTGTCACAGCTGAAGCTGGGCATGGATTTAACAAGAGTAAGTAATGGGATAAGCTGAGTACGACCATCACGACGATTCCTGTAATTGTTCATGTTGTCTTTTAGGATTTGCTTACTTTCTACACCAGCATATCGTATTTTAGGGTTGTTTTTTTTTAAATGATGATTTTCTGTGAAGTAAGACGTTACATGGTAAATAAATATCTATAATCTTGTTTTGTCAAAAATAAAAGGAATTGATTGGTAGGATGTACTGGAAAAGTTAAAGAGCAGAATTTAACCCCACAAAATTATGAAAGGCATTGAGACTTCTACTTCCCATGTTGAATTTTCAGTATTCCAGGTGATGAGTTGGTAATCTGTTACTGTAAAGGTCTGGAAAGTAGTATTCTCCACTAGGTGGGTATGGGTCTGTATGCAGCTACTTAACTCAGCCTTAGTAGCATGCGTCAGCCCTCCCACTGGATTGAGTATAGCTGTGCTCCAACAAAACTAAAACCAATAGGCTGGATTTGGCTGCAGGTATATTTTAGAGTACACACTCATTACTCTAAAATAGTGTGTTTTGAAGATAAGTAGCATTGTCATGTAAAAATGCAGACTCTCAGTCCCTAAACTCAGACTTCTTGCATCAGAATCTACATTTTTCTAAAATCTTCTAGTGCTTCATCTGTACATTAAAGATCATGAGGCACTGTTCCTTGCTTTATTTTAAATTTTAGGCCAATCTTTTGTTTTTACCAATGTATCTAAAATACTCTAACCAAGACAATTTACTTAACAAACAAATTTTAAAAAACTATATATGCCATACAATTAATTGACTTTAGGTGGTATGCTTCAAATAGAGGCTTTTAAAACTGTGGAAGGTAGTAAAATATAGATTTAAAAGGTTGTTTTCAATGAACCTAGACGCATGGTTTAAATAGAAAGCATTTTTTTAGCATTCACTTTGAGGCACTTGAAAAATCAAAACCACATTCTTTTCCTTAATTAGGAAATTTTTCTAGGAAATTGCAAGAGTAAATGCATTAATTGAAAAGCCCAGTAAGAGGCAGATGTTTTAGGAGTTGATATTGGTATCTTTTAATCTTTCATCTTACCTCAAATATTTCAACTGGTAATCATCTAGTCAAGAAATATTTTCATAACTATTAGTTGTTTAGAAAAGACATGATAATTTGTAAAATGGTTAAGTCATGAAGAGTTTGCCATAGAATGGCTGTCCCTGATAGATTTACAAAGTACATAAGAAAAATACTGACATTTAAGAGGTCCTTGGTTTCCAAGTGGCATCAGGCTTGGGAAAAAGGAGCATCTGTTAAAGAGAGGAAGATCCTAACTGAGGTGGCCTGACCCAGTATCAGGAGGCTGAACTGTGTAGAGATGAGGATGGCATAGGTTAGGACAGGGCTCAGTTCTGCTGTTGATAGTGTTGCCATGAGTCATAGTTGACTCGATGACAGCAAAGAGCAGCAGGAACATTTGGAAAGATTGTACTGTGGTCTCATTCAGGAAGTGTTGGTGGTGCAGAGGTGAAGAACTCACCAGCTGACTGAATTATTGATGGCTTGAACCTAGTAGGCACTCCCCAGGAGAAGGATATGACAGTTTGCTTTTGTGTTTTCTGCTTCTGAGTTAACAAAAGACTACCTGTATCTAACTCATAGGAGTAAATCAAAGCCAGGACACATCTGTAGTTGAAACAAGTATCTTCAAGTATTTTCTTGATAAAGAAGGTAGATTCATCAACAGATGCACAAACAATATTCAGATAAAAATTGGGATGAGGTTTGGGAGAACTTATGCATACACCCCCCTGAGAAGGTGATAATGTGGCCTGGAGTGTCTTCAGTGTCTAGATCAAATCACAATGCTTCCGCCTGACCTCTTGTCCTCTTTATCTACTGCCTGACCTCTTGTCCTCTGTATCTGCTTGTATGACTTTCTTCTTGTCATTCTTCTGTTGGAATTTTCTTCACCCATCTTCCGTGTTATCTCTGTTTTGGTTGCTGCTTATTTTGGTAGAAATATACCAAGTATACTTTAACTTCAACTTTAACCTTCTTTAACTTCTGAGCAACATCCATGGAACACAACTTGTATGTCTGAGAGGTCTTCATTTTACTGTCATGTTTGATGGATTGTGTAGATAGAATGGAACTAATTTTCAAGTATGGAAATACAAAGGAAGAGGAACAGTTGTAAGCAGACACTGGTGATTGGGACATGGAATGTGAGAACCATGAATGTAGGAAAATTAAACGTTGTTAAGGAAGAAATGGAACGCATAAATATTGACATACTAGGCATTGGTGAGATGAGGTGGACTGGCATGGGGCATTTTGAGTCGGATGAC